CGCACTCACCCCCCGCGCGGTGCCCGGGCAGTCCCACTACACAATCCAGCTGCGTGAGAGAAACTGTTTCTCCTGTTGAAGGGCGTATGGGGTATCGGTGGCAACCTCCGGTCCCAAACAGCCTCATGTCTGTTCGACTAGGAAGTCTGAACCGTGGCTGGAGCCGAACCTCTGGCAATGGAAAGAAGAAGCCTCAGAGTGGCGTTTGGGATTGGAGAAGGCCCCTGGCGGAACGAAGAAGGGTGTACAGCCGAGTAGCCGAGTTCAAACCACTCGACGAGGACCCGAGCAAGATTCCTTTGCCGAAAACCCCGGAGACGAAGAGACGTGAAGTGTTCCGCGCTACGCAAGGGACTCCGTACTTCGAAGACTCTCACATGCTGACACCATTAAAGCTAAACCCGACTCAGCGAGCGCCGAGTCGTGGGCAGCGAAATGTAGGTCGCTATCGTGAATTGTATGACGCTGCAGATGAGGCTGAGGCTTACGAGGAGGATGAAGAAGACGGCGACGCCTTCGACGTGAGAGGCAACCGTGAAGAAACCGTGAAGGACTACATTCGAAACTTGAGCTTTGACGCGGCTGAAGAGGACTCGACGCAGTACCTAGAAGTCCGAACCCACGCCTCGCTCGACAAAATCGCCGAGTTCGAAGGAAAGCGCTACCGCTCTGACGCGTCGCTCCAGTGGCTCAAGCGGTTCATCTACGAGATGAAGAGCACCAGGATGCCCCAAAGTGCATGGTGCGAGCCTTTCTCGCTATGCTTGGGACGCGCGGCGAAGAGTTGGTACAGGCAGCTGCCGAAGAAGACTCAGCGACGTTGGAAACTACTCAGCGAGGCGTTCCTGGATTATTACTGCTCACAGTTCGACCAATCCGCCCGCACTCGTTACTACTCGGCGAGACGTAAAGTCAACGAACCGATCTGCGACTTCCTGATCCGACTCAACGGGTACGCTCGGACAGCCAAGATCCAGTACGAGAGGGGTGGCGCCGACGCAGCTGACCATGTCGAACACTTCTTGCTGCATTGTGGTGATGACGATGTGATGGATTTAATGTACCCCTTGCAGTTGGAAGACATCAGTAAGGTGGAACAGATAATCAATCGTCGGATCCTCGGCGAGAAGCGTAAGAAGCAACGCGACCGACTCGTGACCGCACGAAGCCGAGATGACAAGCGGAAGGATCAGAGCCGCCGAGATGAGAAGCGCAGTCGCAAGGAAGAAAACCGCGACCGCCGAGTCACTGTCGTTGACGCTGACTCCGACGGAGAGGAACTCATCGATCAGAACCCGCCGAGTCCGTACAACTCCGAAGACGAATGGGATGATGAGTACCAGTCCGGAGGACACGACTCAGCGGAAGACGACGACTACATTGACGCCGGCGTTTCCAATGATAAGGGAAATACACCGGACCGCCGAGAGAACTCGGCGGGAGACCAGAAAGGCTCGAACCGAAGCTGGGGAAACTCAGCGAACCGACCTCCGCGACCGTACAACCAACGAGAACAGTCGAATCGTGGAGATGGATCACGCGACAACACCCAACGAGGACCTTGTGCAGCTGGTGGAAGAATGGGGCACTCGGCTTACTACTGTCGACGACGCTGCAAATTGAGTACCTGCTGCAGACAAGGCGGCCAGTGTGAGCTGTTCCGTCAATATGAGAAGCTGGCTGCGTTCGTGAAGAACTCTGTCGACAAGTCGCAAGTGCCAGAAGACCTGCAAAACCTTTACGCGCCGAGTGATTTAAACTCGGCGGCCCGCCAACACTGACTGGGTTGGAATATGCCGGGCTGCCACAGTCAGCTGAACCTGCAGTTGAGGCGAACTTCTTGTTTGCCTTCGTAGGCGAAGCAGGACGGCCCGAGGGAAGAAGCGGGGATGGCAATTGCATGTGTGAAATCGACGGAATTGAACGTGAGCTCGGTGAGTTAGATGATAACAACCGAGCGATTGCAAGTGTAACTCGGCAGTCAGACCAGGCTGTGCATCGTACCAGGATAATGAAGCTGCTTCCGGGAGAGCGGCTGGGATGGTGGTCAGCACAGACGTTTGATCGCCGAGTTAGAATGAGAGCCCTCGTATTGGGTGCAGTGAACGACCGAAGGACCAAGATATTATTGGATACCGGAGCAAATGTCTCGGCGATCAGTGAGTACTTCGCGAGGAAACTGCGTCTCAAGAGAGTGGCCAGCCGAGATAAGCGAATTGACATACAAGGAATAAGTAAAGACAGGATGGTGACAACGTCAAGAGCAGTGGTGAAGGTGACACTCGGCTGGGAAGTGGCATACGAGTTTGAAGTATGGATAATGCCTCATCATGCCGGAGTCGATTTGATTCTCGGCACCGACTTTATGATCCCAGCTGGAATACGTCTGGATCTGTACAACTCGGCGGTCAAGCTACCCGATGAGATGGTGATACCACTCATCCGGTCAAGTAATGCACCGACTAAGACCGAGTTCGGACCAAATGTACCATGCGGGCCACCAGACGGGTTGACGATCGAAAGTCGAATGACCACTGAGTTCAAATTGCGCAGGCGGCAACCCAGTGAGTCGACGCATGACTTGTGGGTGAGACGGACGAAGGGTTGGATTCCAACGGTTGTTTTTAATCGCCGAGGAAGACCAACCCATGGCCAAATTACGAACGTACGACCGACGTTAGTCTGGTGCCCACCTCACTTTTATGTGATAAAATGGCAACCACACGGAGTGCTGGCCAACGAGGGATATGTCCGCGTGAACTCGGCGAAGTACCGTGACTGGCAGATATTGGCCTTTGAGTCGGCGATGGATAAAGATTTGCTGCAGAAAGAACAACGACTGTACGACGACTGGCTGTCACACCAGCCGCCAGCTGTGGAAAGACGAAAATACCCAACTCCGACGGCGGTGGAAAGACGATCTCCAGTGGAGAGTGGACCAGAGTTAACATGCGCCGAACGCTGGAGAAGGATCGAAGCCGACACTGAAGCCGGCGACTACGAGAAGCGTCGCGGTAACGCAGACGTCATATCGACTTCAGGGGTGACAAGGGGTGACCCGGCTATAAACTCAGCGTTCAAGCTGGAAGATGTCCGAGCGGACCATACGTCGGTGCTACACGATGGCCAAGATGTCTCCTATCAGCTGTCCAAGTTTGAAGACGATGGCGCCATTTCTGACGTCAACACGAACTCAGCGGTCGAAGGAACAAGTGAAGTAAGGGCCACGGAAGACGCGTCGGCGACTGACGACTCAGCTATAACGGCAGGAGGCCTTGAAGAACGCTCGGAACAAGCCCCTATGTGACGTTGAACCCCGTTGCTGACAACCGAGCCAAGTACGGAATAATAGGACCAAGTTCTGCAGCCGTGGTGAACTCAGCGATGGGTACACCGGAAGCCTGCATTATCCAGTCGGCGGCGGCAGACTCGACGTCAGAAGATCTAAACACTGAGAGTGCCTCGGACGTGGTTACAGCATGTCGTCAGGATGTCAGCTATACTGAAGGCGTGTTTACACGCACGGAAGTCAGCTCTGCCGTCATAACCGACTCAGCGGATGAGCACTCCGACGCGACCAAGGAATAT